AGGGCGAAAAACCTCCAGGGCCTCTGCCAATCTACCCTGGAGGAAAATTCCTTCCCGACCCCAAATATGGCGATCAGTAAAACCCCGAGCATGTAGGCAAGAGTCTCCAGCCTGACCCTTGTTAGCCATTATACTATTTACCTGCCATGGCACGGTATTCCTTTGACTCCTCCTGCTGCGTGACATTTGGGTAAAAGCAGAGGATAGCAGGAGAGAACGACAGCTTGGGCCAGACTTATCCTGCCAAGTCTCTCTCTTATTGACATCCACTAATCAAGACCTTGTTTTGGACTTAAGTGCTTAGTGGATTTTGGGAAATGATGGGGTTGGTCTGTCCAGATGTTAAATCTAGCAGTGCCTGAGCTATCATTAGCTTAGCAGTGCTGCTCTGAATCCAGCCTCTTGAGGCAGTGGATTCTGCTTCAGAATGGAGACTTGTACTTCAAGACATTTCTCATTACAGATGCTGGCTTCAGCCCCATGGCTCCAGTTTTGCTATTTAAATAAATACCCTTCCTTGCGCATCCATGGGCAGAGCAGAGTAAAAGCTGGTAGTCTTAGAACACAACAGTGCAGCCAGGAGTACAGTGATCTCTCCCTGGGCAGCATGAGATTAGTACTCCTGTGTCAGCCATGCAGCAAGACCTTGGCAGGCTTAGCCTCCCTTGGCTGCTTTATAGACCTGATTCGTAACCTCTCTGCTCCCCACAGGTCCTTGTGGGAGATGGTCTGGTTAGGCTCCTGACTCCCAGCACCACCACCCTGGCTGTTGTCTCCTGAGTGGGGTAGAACCACTTTAAAGGTGGCGGGGGGGGGGGAGGAATTAACCAGTGGTCTTGACTACCTGCTGGCCTAGAGGGGAGTAGCTTAGCTGTGAGAGAGCAGACCAGACTAAAATGAGTAAAATCATCTGCACTTGGATAGCTGGGCTCCCCAGCCGTCAATGCCAGGCTAGCTAGAGAAAACTCTTGAACAAAAAGGGAGTGTGTATTATTCCACCCCAGAGATGTTAAGGTCAACTGCTTTAAAAATGGCCTCTCGCTGGGTTCCCAAACTTTGACCACTAGTGTTTGAATTTTGATAGGTACTTAGTACTCCCAGCTCCCCTTGACTCTCGGAACTGTGGGTTTTGAATGCTTCTGAAAATAAGGCCCTAGCTCTTTAAGTTTGGGTTTCCGTGTTGAAATGAGAATCCTCTCTTGCTTCAGTGGGTCTCCAGGTAGCATTGCTCACTTACTTGGAGGAGGGAAACTAGGGACAGCAGATGAATAGAAATCCTTGTTTTCAATGGCTGTTCCATGGGGATACGTTCTTCCAATAAACTAATTTAAGTAAACAAGCTGGCCAGGTCATTGTGTTGCCAAAGAAATTCCTTGTTCAACCATGTTAGGATATAGATATTCAGGCCTGTCTGTAAAGGCCTATATTTTAAGAATTTAGGTGTATTCTTATCACTTAGCTAGTTATAGATGTATAAAAGAACGAATCAAAATCACTTTCTGTATGTGTAAGAGCCTTCTCTCACTGACAGTCTGAGGCCTGGTTCTTAGGCTAAGGCCTTTGGCTAAGCAGCAGAGGCAGCCATAAACTGGGAAATGCATGGTCACATCCTCACATTCCAAACTAGTCACATGGAAATAAGGTGCTATTGGGCTGTTAGGAATACAATCCTGTTCTGATATTCCTATCACCTCCAGAGAAAGGAAAGAGCCTAGAAGATATAAAAAGAAACTTAGGTTGATAGTTTTCTGTCTGGTAAGAACTCACTTATCAATAGACACAGCTGGAAAATGCTTATGTCTGTATAGATGTAGTTGTAAAATCCTCACTTCTGTATTGTTTTGTATGTTTATTTGCATGGTCTCTGTCTGGTTCTGTAATTGTTTGTCAGCTGTATAATTAATTTTGCTGGGTGTAAACTAAGGTAGTGGGATATAATTGGTTAGCTAATCATGTTACAATATGCTAGGATTGGTTAGGTAAATTTTAGTAGAATGATTGGTTAAGGTATAGCTAAAAATATTACTATATAAATTAGGGGCAAACAGGAAGTAAGTTAGGATTCGAAAATAAGGAAAAAGGAAAATGGAATCATGCTTGCTGGAAGTTCACCCCAATAAACATCGAATTGTTTGCGTCTTTGGACTTCGGGTATTGTTGCTCTCTGTTCATGCGAGAAGGACCAGGGAAGTGAGAGGGTGAAGGAATAAGCCCCCTAACAAAACAAACCACAATAATGCGGTGTCCTAATACAGAAGAGCAAGTGGTTAAGCTTCTCATCTAACAGATGTTCCAGGTCCTGTAACTGGAAAAGCAAGTCAAGTTCTCATAACGATTTCATCACAGTGGAGGGTATTGGGCTCATCTCAGAGAATGCATGTAGCTAGTGTGGGAAGTTTTAGAGGAGCATCACTGTATCATCTCTACCAGTGACAGTATTTCCAAATAGACATGTGGGTACTTCCTGCGTTTCCTCCCACAGCTGTACTTAGAATGTTAAAGGGCACTCTGTAGTGCTTTCCTAACTTAGTTCAGCACAGTTGATATTGAAAGCTGAAGGTCTCAGCCTCCACCATATGCATGTAAACGCCTTCACTTCAGTGATAGCTCCAGTTCAGACAAGAGTCTTCCAAATCACCTGCATCTGGCTACTTCAGGGGTAAGATTAGAGCTCTGCAAGAAGAAGAACCTTAACCAGAAGTCATTTGCTAACGCAGCCCCCTCTGAGGAGAGGCTGGAAGTGAGAGGGAGTTCATTTCCTGCTGCTATTCAGTACTGCTGAGGTGTAAGATTGTGGATAAAGAAGACAGCAGGCTCCACAGCTCTCACAAACAGACACAAGAGGAAGGAGCACACAAGTCTTTCTGGTGCTGTGCCTCCCTATGTTTGGTGGGAGGGGGAAGAGTTCACTTACCCCAGCCTTGTGGCAGGTATGATATTACTTTGCTACAGGGAGCATAAGTATTAGACAGCAGAAGAGAACTATGTACCAGTTCTGTTTCACTCTAGCATCCTAATTGAGACCAGTGGGTCATGTAAGGTATCAGTGTAAAGGTTATGATTTGCTGATTATCCAATTTGTATGCATGTATCATTTCCGTATCTGAAGTTTGTTACATAGTCAATATTCCTATCACAACAGTGGGTGTACTTGGGGAACATTCACCAGACAGTATGCAATCAGCCTGAATGGGTCATTAGGAATAACAAGAAGACTTGGAAGATACTAATCTCCTGCTTTCCTGCAAAGCTTCCTGGGTTGCTGCTTTGACACTATATTCTTGAGAGCCACACTTTAGCTCATACCTTCACAGGCAGTTAAACAGTATTTTTATTACCATTTAAATAGTCTGATACAGGAAAAGCAGCAATAGCCAACATGCAAAGCAATTAAAGAAGTTACAGGACTCAAATGAGATCATTTACAGATCAACTCTAGCAAGTAACTGCTTATTCACAACAATGCCAACAGTAAAGCATATAGATGCAATTTTAAGAGCCCTTCTCTAAACACTGCTGTTCTAGATCACGTCCCAGTGACCTGATGCCTTCATTGCAGGTGCCAAACCAACACAACAGTTAGGAGAGAGGTGGAGTGGTAACTGATTTTGTCTTTTGATAGGAGTCAAGTCATTTATTTGATCATAAAGCCTGCTAGAAGAGATGCACATTTTGAAGCCAGGAAGCCAGTTTGAAAGCTTGCATCTCTGCTGGAACAGTTTACGCCCTAGAGATCAGCTAGTAATGGTGGCAGTGAGTAGGAGATGAAGCTAGGAAATTTTGCTGCAGGTTATCTAGGCTGCCTATTTCAAAGAAGTCACTCTCCTCAGTTGGGATAGGTATTCAATGCAAGTGGCTGATGCTTGTAGCTTAAAAGATTTCAAGAGGGTAGAAGTCTTTGCAAACTTGATTAGAAGTTGGTGTCCCCACAAACAGGTGTCTGGCCTGGATCACCTTCAGAAATAATGAAGGAAACCACCCCCCAAGGCAGTTTGTTTGAAAATAACTTATGTCCTCCTGCACCTCTTCCTTTGGCATGCCTCTGCATCCGACCCACAGGAGCTATCTGAGTCACTTCCCGACAAGGAGGAAGAAGAGGTGGAAGGCTTCAGTGTGCTGCAGTTCATACTCAGCACCCAGCCTAGTTTGTTGTGTAGAACTTGCTTAAGTCCTGGAGGCAATGGCAGCACTTCCAGCGTATCCACATAGTTGGGCAACAGCTGGCGGAGGCGATAACAGCAGAGGTACTGGAGGGATGTGTAGCTGGTGCATGAGCGGATCACCTTCATGCTGCTTTTGGCTGCAGTGGAGCACACCATGGGGTAGAATTTCTTGTTCTGCAGTTTGGTAGCTGCAACTCCTGGGAGGAAATACAATCAAGGAGGCTGGTGTTAGTCATAGGCAAGGGCACAATTAGGTAATTGCCTATAATGCAGGGATACAGTTCCTAGGATGCCCTGTGATCTGAACTGTCATCCCTTTTCCCACCTAAATGTGGGGTCTACAAACTTCTGGATAGAGAGCTGGAAAGCAGGAGATTTTTGAAGTCAGGCCTGTTGAAGGAGTGAATAGGTGTTTTAGACACTCTGCTTTATGCACTTAATCTTCCTATAGTTTGCTATTTAAGGAAGTCCGCTAACTATCCCCATCTCCAAACAGTCAGATGGCACTGAGACTTCCAAGAGGCAGCAACAATCTGAAGACCCACCCAAAGGGTCAATGTCCCATAATTCATACACCCCTCCCTCCCTGCATGTTTTGTCTCCTCACTTTGTTGTGCTTAAGCAGGGGTTCTCAAACTAGGGGTCAGGACCCCTCAGGGGGTTGCAAGGTTATTACATGGGGGGGTCGCAAGCTGTGAGCCTCCACCCCAAACCCCGCTTTGCCTCCAGCATTTATAATGGTGTTAAATATATTTTAAAAGTGCTTATAGTTTATAAGGGATGTCTCATTCAGAGGCTTGCTATGTGAAAGGGGTCACCAGTACAAAAGTTTGAGAACCACTGTGCTCAAGGGTGGGTTTGGCTGGATGAAGGCCACCTTGTCCCAACTCTTACCTATGTATTTCCTGTTTTTGAAGAAAGTGAGAGTCCCATGCCACGTGTCCAAATGAACCCCAATGATGGAGCCTTGGCCAAACCTTGAGGAGAAGTTAATTTTATCTCCCCTGTGGTGGAGTAATCCTTAGACAGACAGACAGCAGATTAAGAAGCAATCCTATACTCTTTAGATCGATCCCATCTTCCACAATCTCTTCCTAGTTTGTATAAACTGAAGGAGTCAACCATTTAATTAAAAAAACCT